TCATGTTTGGTGTTTGTTTGTGTTCATCAGACAGGAAATGTTTTGTGTCAGAACGCAGACGGTGATGACTTGTTTGTGACATTAGTTATTATCACTTTTTTTTTTTGTCGGTTGCATCAGTTCCTCTGATAACAGCGTCTAACAGAYGCTGGAGAGTTTCTTTTCAACATCCTGAAACATCCGTGGGCAGCACAAGACATTTCACTTTAAATCCTGTGTACTGAACACTTTTCAAATGCAAGTTTGTCYTCTTTTTACCTCAACTGTCCCCAAACAACTGTACTTCCTAAAAGAGGGCCGCGCAAACAGAGTCATCTGGACTAGAGGAAGTTGTGGCGAAACGTCTGCACGACCCAGAGATCAGTTTCAGCCAAACGCATGAAGCAGCSCCTAAAATAAAAGCAACACACACGGACCGAAAGGTTTCTGTGACACGCAGCTGTCACGAGGAGACCAACAAACACTTGCCACGATAAATCCACTACATGCATCTTAGAATTTAAAGTGTTTCACATTTAAAAACTGCTTTCGTTGTGGAGCTGAAGCTGTTTTTGTTTGTTCTGCTTGTATGAAAGTAATGGAGAGCATGTTGTGCTTTTTTGTATTTGCAAGCGTTTTGCATAAACTATTACAGCAGCTTGTAAAAGTCATTATTTCTCGGTGACAAATTATAAACAAAAAACGATCTCACAGAATGGAAACTATTTTATCTCTTGCAACCAAACCCAAATCTGACATTTTGAAAAGAAAAAAAAAGTCTTTCGAAATGTTGAAGCYTGCTGAAATTCCAACATCCYTCAACTTCCTTCTTTAAAGCCCAAAAGTAATCTGGGATTGACTTCGCTGATAATCTGAGACGACTGATGCACAAAGAGTGGAGGCGTTCAGTTTTGATGAGAAACCTCTCAGCTCTGATGTGATGATGGTCAGGGAGAGTTGGACGTGTTCAGTTTGCAGTGAGAGGCAGACGGACATGTTCATGTTTTCATGTGGAAACTGTAAATGAAGAGTTTGAGACAGCTCAAAGTCCGTGAGTGATGTCAAAAAATTACCCCAAAGCCTGATACTTAAACTGGGATTGTATAAAAACTGTAAAACCAGTTCAGTAGATATTTTAGTAATCAAATTAAACTCTGAATTACCGTATTTATTCAAGTATACTACGTAAAATTTAATCCATAAAATCATCCATAAAGTTGGGAGGTAGTACTATACTC